TGTAAGTGAGTTTGCACTGTAAAAGTTAATCTGGATGGTTCTGTGGCTTGTTTGAAGGCACGCCTTGTTGCCAAAGGGTATGCCCAAACTTACGGCGTTAACTACACTGATACGTTCTCTCCAGTTGCTAAACTCTCATCTGTTTACGTCTTCATCTCTCTTGCGGCTATGCATCATTGGTCATTATTCTAGCTAGATGTCAAGAATGCATTCTTACATAGAGACTCATAAGAGGAGGTGTACATCGAGCAACCACCTGGCTTTGTTGCTCAGGGGGAGTGTGGAAGAGGGCTTGAAACAATCGCCTAGAGCATGGTTTGGGAGATTCAGTAATGTGATTCTAGAATTTGGATTAGTGAGGAGTGAGAGTGATCATACAGTGTTTTACAAACAGACTAACCACGGTTGTATTTTACTTGTTTATGTTGATGATATTGTTATTATAGGTAGCGACAAAGAAGAAATCAACAATCTAAGAAAATTTCTTCAAACCAAGATTCAGACAAAAGACTTAGGAATACTTATTGAATATTAAAGTCATGCACTCCAATTTATAGAAGACAAAATATGTCTTAGACTTATTGACTGGGACTGGACTAAAAGGAGTTAAACCATGTGAGACACCTATGGAGTTAGGAGTGAAACTGACAACAAATGGAGTTTCTTTTGCAGATTCATAGAAATACAGAAGATTAGTAGATAAATTACTTGATTGTCACAAGGCCGGGTATTGCTTTCCTAGTGAGTGTTGTTAGCCAGTTTATGTCATCTCCGACGAATACTCATTGGGAAGCACTAATCCGCATTGTGAAGTATTTGAAGAAAGCACCAGGAAAAGGAATTATATACAAAGATCATGGACATGCACAGATAGAGGCGTTTTCTGATGCTGATTGGGTAGAATCTATGGACAGAAAATCTACTACTGAATACTGTGTGTTCTTTAGAGATAATTTAATTTTGTGGAAAAGTAAGAAGCAGAACGTTGCCTCAAATATATTGAGATATATTGGTTGAAGCATATGTTGGAAGAGATAGGATTTGATAGCACTAAGCCTATGCAACTTTGGTGTGACAACCAAGCAGCGATACACATTGCCTCAAATCCAGTTTTTCATGAACGGACAAAACATTGAGATAGACTGTCACTTTATTTGAAAAAAAGTTCAGTAGAAGCTTATAGCCATCTCTCATGTTAGGACAGACGATCAACTAGTAGATGTGTTTACAAAAGCTTTAAATGGGACATGTAGCAATTATATTTGTAATAAGCTGAGCATGATTAATATTTATGCTCCAGCTTGAGGAGGAGTATTATGAATAGTTAGAATAGACGTATTAGGATTAGGGTTTATTTTAGTATTATAATAATGGACTTGACCCAGTAGGGTTATACATGTATCCTTATAAATATAAGGGTCTCTACACATTGTAGAGTATCCAATTCCAGTACACTAATCTGTCTCTCTCTCTCTTAATCTCTACAAGGTGTTTGGTTTTGAAGAAAAGATGATGGTATTTGTTAATGAGGTAACAAACACTAAGAACAACATTGTCCCAGAAGCGGTGAGGAGGAGCATGACTACGACATAATAAATTACAAGCATTTTCAATTAAATGTCTATTTTTCCATTTAACAACCCCATTCTGTTGACTGGTATGAACACGAGGTATGATGAAGAATGCCATTACAAGCCAAAAAATTTTGAAATAAATAAGTATTCATGAGCATTATCACTTATTACTTTATAAGGTAAGAATTGAAACATCGAATTGAGTTTTAATTTCAAAAAAGAAAGTCTTGAAGATAGAAAATAACTTAGATTGATCTTTCATTAAAGAATAACCAAGTAAATCTACAGTCATCATCAATGAAGTTAACATAATATTTTGATCCTAAAGTGAACATAATACGACTCAGACCCCATACATTAGAATAAACTAAAGCAAATGGAGAAGTGGAACGATGATTGACATGATTAGTAAAAGAAAAGAACTACGAGTATGATTTCCTAAATGACATGACTCACATGACAAATTAGATAGTTTTGAAAGACTTGGTGCTAGTTGTTGTAACTTGGCTAGACTAGGATGTCCTAGTTGAGCATGAATTAGAAGAGGAGAATCCACTACCGAACTAGCATAAGCAGATGTTTTATTTGATTAAGGCCATAAGACATCCTGTTGTAATCATCTTCCTTAAACTCCGGTCCTGCAGGAAAACAAAATCTTTGGTGAAAGAAATGATGCATTCAAGGGAGTGGGTGAGACGACTGATGGATAGTAAGTTAAAAGGACACCCAAAGACATAAAGGACGTGATCAATGGAAAGAGAAGGAAAAAGGTGAGCAATACCAAGACTTTGAGATTGTGTTAGAGATCCATTAGCCATAGTGATAACATACACCCAGTCCACCGGTTAGCATGATGGATATTATATGTAGAAATAGGAAAGGCCTTTTCCTATTGACAGAAAGTCAATAACCATATGTAGAAATAGTAAAAAAGAGATTTATTATGGATATTATAATTGGTGGCTCCATAATCAAGGACCCATAAACCAAAAGAAGATTGAGGCACACTAACAAAAGAATTACCGGTATGTGCAACAAGAACATCAGAAACGGAGGCTTGATGTTCCATATACCATCGAAAGAAGTCGCTGTAAGAGGGTGGTGTAGTGACATAGTTGCTAAAATTGGAAGCCCCTATTGCTGGAAGGGTAATGGCTGCCATGGGTAAGTGCCAAATAGTGGCAGGACAGTACTGAACAAGGCACCTAGACCAAAGAAGAAAGGACAGATTGGAGTGCAACAGCCTTGGTGATTTTGACAAAACAAGCGGCAGCTAGAAACAATGCCAGACGTACTGCCATGTGCAGGCAGTAATGCGGCGAGCAGAGAGAAAACTTAAGAGGAGAAGACACGTGTGAGAGCATGTGAGACCTCTGGTTGGAGCAAAACTTTGGGGACAGGCTGAACTGAGCAAGGCGAACCAGATTTGAGGGTGGTTGCCGGGTCAGTATAAGCACTGGTTCAGTGTGCAAATGACTGAAAACTGAATACAGAGGACTGGTCTTAAAAAAAATTTGCACCATTCAGTAGTGGGCCCACTGGGTAATTATGGATTAGGGTTGGCTTTGGATACCATATTGAGAAAGAAGAATGTTATACAGGATGAATCTGTGTATTTAAACTACGCAGCGGAACATGTATTTATAATAGAAATCATTGATACACTAATTAAATAATGAAATATAATTACCTAATTACCGTAATTACTAAGATATTAACTTCCATATTTACAACATTACTCTAATTACATATTTTCAACAGGAATCAAGTTTACAAAAGTGACCATTCCATTGTATTAATAACCTTATACAAATTCGTATTTGACAAGATATTATTGGCAGTGGTGTACAACCATTTAGGTGCCTGTGGAGCAGTATAGTTCATCCTTTTACTGGGTTTAGAGTGCGAGCTTGGCTTCTTTGTGATGCCCTATGCAACTTCTGATAAAGTGGATGATTAAATGAGAGAAGTCACCCATTCCATCCAACTCCAAGCTTTGGGTAAATTGATCCAGTGTAGAGTCACATCAGGCTAGGAAATTCAGTTGTAGCTAGCTGAGGCAATACACTTTTGTGTGAGGGCACCTTAGTGCTTTTACATCACTAACCTTTCCCCTCATCAAAATCCATTTGGACTGGTAGCATTGACGATGCATAGGCTCAAATTTACAATGCTCCAAACTTCTCAGTATATTTAATTTATTACTTGGCACTGCTTGTATTTTGCTAATTCTGGCTAATGGTCCCTTAAAATTTAGTGATGGTGCTGTTCTCACTGGATGTTATTTGATAAATCATGTCATCTTTTGTTTTGAATAATCAAGTCAATCACGATCACTATGCAATTGTACTCTGCATGTTTTTGGTTCAAGTTATTAACATCCAAACCTCAAGTAGTTACCAAACACCTTATATTGAAAGCTGGCTCCATTTCACTTAAATATCCAGTTTTTAAAAAATTTGAACACCCATCCAATCTGTGCCCCATTATTATAAAATCATATGTTGGTCGACTTTTTAACCAGATATACAATTCTGATATAATTGCACAGTAAACTTTGTTAGAGAAGAAACCAGAGAACTCAAGAATGAGATGGATCTTGTTGGCATGCAGTCATGCACTTCTTTGTGGCATTTTACATTGAACAAGTTTAATGGTTTTCAAAAAATAAAGGTTTTTTTTTTCTTTTAAAAACTGTGTTATTTTATGAATGATCCCAATACAAGTTCAATGTGGGAGTGTTCTGTATCATCTTTATTTGTCACTTTGTATTAATGCACTTCTTATTTATATACCTTTTTATTATTTTAAATTTTTATATTGTAGCTAAAAGCTGCTATAGTTTTAACTTTAATAACATTCTAATAGAGCAAAAAGTTGTTGCGGGGATTCTGCAATGAAATTGTGGTTTTTAAATGACAGTTTAGTAGTTTATTAAATATGCGCCTCTTAAGCACCAATACGCACACAAACATCTTATCCTGGAGTTTGAAAATTGCTCTTCACTTTAAAGCATCTATGTAACAATTATTTTTGCATTATGAAATTTGTTGCTTTTGCACATGGGTTTAGAAAATTGAGTTAAATCTGATGCTGTGGTGCTAAAACAAGGTTTTTAGGCTTGAGTTGTTAGAAATATATAATTATAGAAATGCTGTAAATAGGGAAGGTTAGATATTTGTAATTATGGTAATTATGTAATTGCATATTCTTATTTAATTTTTCTATTAATGATTCCTTTTATAAATATATACTCCACTATGTAGTTTAGACATATGGATTCATCTTATGTCTCTTGTTCCTCTTCCTTTTCAACATGAATAATAAACCTCTTCTTTTTCCACTGGAATGTTTCAAATGGCATTCATTATATCCATTTCATATTGGCTCTGTAATTTGTCTAGCTTCATGATCATGATTTTGTAGATTTATGGACTGAAAACGTTGGTGAAGAGTTTTTTGCCTTATCAAGGGAGCCCTGTCAAACATAATATTAGTGGATTGTTGGATATTTTGTCAAGAATGCTACTGGAAAGTGATGGTTTTGTTAGCACAGCTACTGGCTCATGGTATGACTTTTGTAGTTATATTCTTTTTCTTTAGGACAAATTTATGTAGCACTAGCTCTAGGTACAATGTTTTTTCTTTCATTCCCCATTACCTGTAAATATTGAAGTTGATTTTATTTTTCTACTTTAGACTTTGACAAAATATTGAAGTTGATTTTATTTTCCTACTTAAAACTTTGGCATCGAATTCATAGTAATTTAAACCTGGTTTGTTTCATAATTATATAATCTTTTATTGCTCTTGTATATGAAATATCACTATTATATCTCTTCAAATTTTTTTAACTTATTGCAGTTCAGCTGCTTCATTGAGAGTGAGTTAGCTATGGATCTCATATTGAATGAGCTTCTAAATTATCTGTTCAACAGTCTGTAGTTGATTTTTGTTGTTATGTGAAAGGTCTTCAGGCTTGTTAGTGAATAGTGAGTGACTAATATAAGTGATGTTTTTATTTACTGAACTTCTAACCTTCCTGTTAAACAGCTTTTGGTGGATTATGTTTATCCTTTCATGCAATTGAACTTGCATATAAATTTTGCTGTGTCTACTATGTAGTGAAAATGATAAGGCTCAAATCAGATTAGCTGCTGCAAAGGCAATTCTTCGTCTTGCTTGGAAGTGGGATTTACATATTACTCCTCAGATTTTTCACATCACTATTTTGATTGCAAAGGTATGTATACTGCACTGTAGTCTACATTTGAAATAATTCAGTAGGCAGAGAAAGGGGTTTGGTTCCTCATTTTATTGATCCAACGATGGAAGTAGGCTTGGCATGGCCTGGTATGAAGGCTGGGGCAGCGGAGAAGTGATTCCAAGTCAGGAGCTCTACTAAAATTTTTTATTTCCCTTAAGCTGGTGTAAATATATAATTTTCAAAATTTGCTACTTATTTATAATCAATTCAGGTGGTTCTCTAAGATTTAGTTAGTCGGTCAACTTTGTAATTTGAGTTGACAATGCTAATGAAAATTTCTCCTGAAGGTTTTCTTCAATAACATAATTGCAATTGGTCATATGTTGCTGCTTCCGTAGCTTCGTCTCAGGATTTGGAAACTATATTTTGCTTAAATCATACAATTATTCTGTGCAGTTGCTCTATATTTTGCTTTTGCACAATTCCTTGCAACAACTGTTTGCTTTTCTTACCTCTCCAAGTTACGTCATTTCCCCATACTTCTGTCTAATACCTAGTCACTGACTTTGCATCTTCTATACAACCTGGCCTGGCCTGGCCAATTTGCATCAGCATAGCATTCAATCATTGGATGGTTATTCTTTTGGAACAGTAGTTCCTTCCCAGGAGCCTTTTTTAGGTAGCAAAAAATCTGGTTTACATCTTCAAGATGCTATTCGATCTATTATCTTGCTTCGACCCACCATCTATGAAATATGCTTATTGTGGTATCAAAGGAAATAAAAAGTATTTGCCGTCAAGAATGATTAAAAGAACATTTATTAGTAGGAAACAAGCATCCTAAATGTGTTATGCCAAAATTGCTCTAATTTATGGCTTTTCCTTAAACTGTAAATTGTTTACTAATTCTCAAATCGATTCATTTTTGTATTATTTATTTCAACTGTTTTTTGTATCATTTTCCATATTCCAGGACTCTTCTTCTTTTGTTAGGAGCAGATTTCTCAGTAAGACACAAAAGTTATTGAAGGAGCGTAAACTACCTATCAGATTTGCTTGTGCTTTTGCATTGGCAGCAACTAATGCATTTGACGATCTGCAATATCAAGTATGTTTATGTCTCCAAATATTTTATGAGATTTTTAATTTATGATTAATTCATGTTATGTTGCATTACTTTTGTGCATGTTTGGGCAATAGCTGTAAATAAATTAAAGCTGTTGCGGCTCACTCCAATTGTGATGTCTTAATTAATGTTCAATGTCAACTATTGGTATGAGTTGTATGACTGATTATGGTTATTAAGCTATGTTTGGATATCTAGTGATGGTTGGAATGAAATAGAGTGGAGTGGAATTAAATGAAACAGAGGTACTATTTTATTATTTTGATATTATTTATGATTGTAAAGAAAAAGGGAATGGTTCCATTCCGTACGTCTGAAATTATAGGGGAAGAAAAATTGATGTATGGTAAGAAATACATTCCATCAGGTTGCTCTCTATTCCATCTTATTTTAGACAATTCAAACAAGGGAATCTAGTATCATTCCATTCCATTATTATTCCAAACATAACTAAGGAAAATCTAGCGTCTCCTGTAGCTGTTTTTGCAACCAACAACACCAACGTTGATAGAACAGAAATTGAACAGTATTATTAAATCACATGAAATACATACTTCGGTCCCAGAGTCATAGACTCCTACAGGGATGAGTTCTCTGTCCAAATTACAAGAAAAAAGCAAACATATCCTTCCATTCTCCTATTACACACATATTTAATAATATGTAACCAATCTTATTTTTCTGCTCTAGACTGTTAACATGACAGTTATCATTACACATTCTGATAATAAGTTACTGTTCCTACTTTCTACCATTAACTGTCAAAACTGCCCCTAACTGTCAGTTCCCATCTTCACCTCCTGCTGAAAATGCAGCCTTGTCTGCAAGGCTGTAAGCAGGAAACTGATTCTTCCTCATCATCGTAATGTACTTCAATGGCAGTTACTTCATCATTTAGAACTTCATTATCTCCCAAAATTACCTATTTTTATTGTTTCTCCTTGCATTGATGTAACCCATAGTAGTCAATAGTGGCCATAGCGGCTGCTATCGTGAGGTGTGGAATGGAGCAGCTGGGTGCTGCTTTTCCATTGCTGTTGCCATTTCAGAAAGTTGGCCCTCCCTTTTTGAAAGTTGGAATGCATTTTAGGGGGGCAATCTCTATTCTCTTGTTCTCTTGCTTCGTCCTCCATCTCCAACATCACTTTTTGGTGCAAGTCATCATTTCTGACAAAACCCAACTTATTTCTAATGTGAGTAGAGACACTTTCCAGTTATTTTCTTCATCTGCAGTATAACTCAATTTATTTTCGACATGATGTAGACTTTTTCTGATGATAGTGAGACATTTAATGGTGAGACCATTGGCATTAGAGCTTTTTTCATTGACTAAACACTCATTGTTCTATTTTCTTTCTCTGTTTTTGATTGTCTTTAGATTAGCGGTCATCCTCCTGCTATCCAGTTTTTGGAGTCAACTGCTCCGCGCCTCTATTTGGGATTGACTACTATAGTGTAAACAATGAATCAATTTTTCTCCATGCCTAAAACATAGGTTCTTGTTTTCCAGTCCATCAACTCTTGGTATGTTAGTTGATGCAGGCCTTGACATTTATTACCAAAATTCCTTTGTTCAACCTCTGGTTTACTCCCAGTTGACTCTGAAGCAGTAGAAATCTCAAATTTACAAAAACAGAATTGCAGTTTTAATCACTGCTAATCCCGCTGCGTGCCACAATCCAGGATTGATAACTATGTCTAAAAGTTGGTTTTCGTTTTCTTGATCAAATTGTCTTTCAAACTGGACAATTGCCTACATTTCATTCTTCACATCATCCCTAACTGCTGGGAAAGCACCGACATCTTTTTGTATTTGAACAAAGTGATGCTTCAACTGGTAATCCCTTCCCTGTCACTATCCTTTTACAATATGTGCATTGAATTCTTCTGACAACTTCATCAACTGAAATGTCATTCTTCGTAGCCACATCACTCCTATTTCCAGCTTCTTTTTTGGGCCTTATTTGAGGACCCAGATTTGCAGCACTAGTAGCACTGGAGCTGCCAACAGCAGCACCAGCACTAGAGTTTCCAAGTTCAGCTGCTGAGCCAGGTTTTAAGGACATTTTCACTCACTTCAGTAACTTTAGAAAGGACCCAATGAGACCAAAAGAGAATAGAAGAGGAGAGATGAACAAATAACCCAATTGTAGATGCAGAACAATCTAAAGGAAAACCTTACTGTCGAAGACAACCATTGATGGAGAAGAAAGCCTGCAGGTTGAAGGCAGAAAATTGCTAATAAAGAGCTGCAGAAGAAGAGTGCCAAATGTGGGAGGAGGACCCACGCACAACTTGCAGTAGAGGAAAAAAGTGTACAGTCTTATGTGAAAAAGTGTAGAGTTTTATGTTACATCTGGTTTCTGTCAATCTTATCAAATATAATAGAGGGTAAGCTTTAGTGCACAGGTGAGGCTGTTATCTTGTATCTTGGAGGTCATGGGTTCAAATCTTGGAAACAACTTCTCTACTTATGGGCGTTAGGCTGCAGATATTGCCCCACCTTTAAGCTTATCCAGCATAACAGTCAAAATAAATAAAATTAATGCTAGAGGGATTATCCTTTCTCTTAATGTATTCTCTTTAATAAAAAAAGCAAGACAAGAGAAGACTGTAGTGTCTAATTTTATCTAGTCATACAAGTTACTGGAAGAAGATAATGAAGTGCTTCATTTCTCCTTTATAGACCTAGAAGAAGAAACCCCACATTTCTCTGAATGTTATTTAGTTCTTGATATTTTTTTTAATCTGTTCTGTTATTAAGTTGATTAATGGTTACTGATGCTATTTATTTTAGAACTACAAATATTTGGCAGAGTTTATAAAGGATTACAGTATAGTAGCTCATACACGACAAACATCTGCTGTTCAAGGAGCAATCATTGATTACCCTGCATACATTTTGGTCTTCTTGATTCACGTGCTTGCTCGGAATAATGACTTTGCATTTGAAATCTGTCAAGATGAAAAAAAGTATGCTGATATTTGTAGGTAAATATTGCTACTATCCTTCATACTTTAGTTTTACTAATTCTGGGCTAGGAAAATTCACCCTAAGGATCGTGACACATCTTGATTGCTTCTTTGTAGCCCACTCTTCTTTATCTTGCGGGCATTAATTGATGACAGTATTGTTGGTGACCTGAACCTTGTTAATGACGCTGTCTCACATCTCTTTAGTATTTTTCGAGCAATCAGAAAAGTTGAGGATGCTGTAGATGTGCAGATGACAACTGTAAAATTTTTTAACACCCTCCTTTTAACGACTAGTTTTTTCTTCATGTATGCAAGTTTTATTGAGTTTTGTGAAATGCAGAAGCTGCATATGCTGGCTGAAATTGGGATATTTACTTTAAATGCGTTAAAGGGTGATGGGATTTCTGTTTGCCAAGTACCTGGACAAGTTTTACTGCCTTCATCATTATATAGAGTGAGTCTCATCATGTGATTGTAATTTACTTTAAATGCATTATAGAGTGGTGGGATTTCTGTTTGTCTTTTCTTTCACACAGAAGATTTAATGTGATTGTAATTTTTTTTTATTGTGTACTTACACATTTAGTTTCTTTTGTTTTGGTTGAAATTCTTAACTGCAGGCTAATTCAAAATCTCCGAAATCCTTTTTTGATGAAAATTTTCTAAGTAGAGTCTTTCACACACTTCAGAAATCTATGCCTCAGGGATATACTCAAAAGGTATATTTTGCATTTCAACAATAGGCAATAACTGTTTCACATTTCTTTGTGATGATGCTATTCATTTTTGTTATATCCCTTTTTTTATGTGGTTTCCTATCAGACTGCAGAAACACTTCTTAAGCATGGTCATAAGGGTCATCAGGATGTCCCAAAGTATATTTATGGTGTACTGGACTTGGCATCTAGCAAACCAGACAATTTGCCAAGGAGAGAAATTGAAAATGCCAAAACTGTGCGGCCTAATATCCCTTCAGTGAAAAGGAGAAAATGTGTGTCTCAGTCTGGTTCTGGATCAATTGGTTTGCATGAATGCTCTACAATTGAAAAACAACAAAAATTACCATCAAAACATTGTCAAAAGAGCATAGAGAGTAACTTGTTTTCATCAAGTGATTCTGTGATCTCTAAGGGTTCCCTGTCTGAATCACATGTGCCAACCTGTAAAACAAAAAGAACAGCTGCTTGTTCATTGGAGAATGCTGTGACAAGTAGCAAACATACTGTTCAGCCTTCCAAATGTCCTAGAACCAAACTGAAAGATACATGTGGCTCTAAGGTTGGTGGGAAATTCTTTCAATAATAAAAAGTTGAATACTGTTTGTTGTAGTTGCACATTTATATAAGTATATTTCAGGAATAATATGAAAAAGATATATAGTGTGGGAAAAACTGAAAATATGTCAGCTTCCTCCTTGTTCTTGCCTACTCAAGCCCAAAGGATTATTTTTGTTGGAGATATTAACCATTCTTAGTCTATTACAGCTTATATTTAGGTTGAATTGGCTGCTTTGTTAGAGTCTAATTTGAACAAGTGGTCTAGAGTTTGATCCTTGCCACCTTGACTCTCTGAATGAAATATTCTAGCATAAGGCTTGTGCTTTAAGGTTGTTTGGAAGAACTTCTCAATAGGAATTTATTGAAGAAGAAAATACAAATTAAGGAGGTAATATGAATCAAATCTCTCTCGTGAATTAATTTTATGCAACTCAACTTGTGGAGAAACTAGACGATGGAGCTTATAAAAAAAAATTGAAGTGCGAGTTATTAACTTTTGGAACAAGTTTGATTTTTTTTATTTCTTTGATTTGTATTTTTTTTTTTCCCTCTAGGTTTAAGTTTATCTATATTGGTTCTTTGTATAGGTTCTGAGCCCAATGCAACTGAAGCCATGTAAACCATTTATTAGGTTAATACTAATAGGCAATAGCACATGCTTTTGGGATAGCTTGAGCCCTTAGTTATGTTAAATCAATTAATAATTGTATCATAATGTGGCTTATATGTGTTAAGATGTCCCACATTGGCTAGGAATAGAGTCAAAATACTCCTTATAAGGGCTTGTGTAGTCCTCCTCCTACAAGCTAAATTTTGGGAGTGAGTTAGGCCCAAATTTCTTAATAATATGCAACTGGAATAGCAAGCATTATCTGCCCTATTGTTAGGGTTTTAGTCATCAAAATCCTTTGCTTTCAATGTTACTGACTGTTACTGAATTTGGATTAGCTTCTACTTTATGGGAGCTTTTTATTGTAATATCCAACTATTAAGATTTTTCTAAGGCAAAAGTGCCAAGTTCTATTAGGTTTGTAAATAGATGCTTATGGAAAAGTTAGATGAGAAAGTCTCTTAAAATGTTGAAGTGCATATGTTGATTCCAACTTGTGCAATGTGTTTGATTCATTTTTACCTTCTTGATAAATTTATTATTTTCTTCTCCTAATAAGTGCTTGTTGAGAGAAGTTTATCCATAGTAGCTTTATGCTTTGTTTAACCCATACCTTGTTGCTAATTGCCAAAAATGTTTTCTGCCTTTTCTAAAATAGAATTGATACATCCCCAGTTTTGAGCTTCATTTTTACATCATGCATCTTTTCCTTTTTACTTTTGCAATGTTGCCTGTGTTTTTTGCGGAAACTATTCTCATGAATGTCATTTGACTTTTTGGTATAGAGACAAGATATACTGGCAGATGTTTCAAATAAAAATCAATTCAGCCTCTGGTGAGTTTTATGATAACTTTTAATTTCTAGTCTTTTCCCTTTTTTATGTAACGAAGTTCAAATTTCTTTGAACAGTTTTGAAAAGAGATATTGACTGATATTTATGATTTAGTACAAAATTAAATGAAATAAAAGTAGTATGAGGGTTGGGAGGAGAGAGTCCTGTGATAAGCTAAAATTGTGTTTGCTTTCTTTATCTTCATAAGACTAAACCAAATTCTTGAATTAATTTGTTGGAATTATAGGGTTTTATGTACAGGGGAAGCACAAGGCGTTTAAAAAGACTGAACATGCTAAGATTGATATGACATTTTACAATATGATGCAAAACATAAAGCATTAGCCCTTGTTTATATTAGTACTTGATCATAATCTCAATTAAATTAGGAAGCAAATCTTGAATTATGAGGAGGCATGGAAACCAATCCTATTATCTAATACAATCAAGATATTATTGGATATTTCTCATATTTTAACACTCACCCTCAAATAAACCCATAAAAAAAACGAAAAAAGGTATGTTGCAATTAAACCCATTAAAAAAAGAAAAAAAATCATATTAACTCCAGCAAATTTGGCCTACAATTTAACTCTGGGATGCTAGAATGTTTGAGAAATAAGCATTATGATTTGCTGCAATGATCACTAGGATACAGTGCTGGTTGGAATGTTGCATGAATATTACACTTAGTATGTCATGCGCAGTCTTAGTTATTATCAAGTGATATGTTAGCTGTAATTTGCCGCCAGTTATCTGTATTAGCTACAGCTGTAGTTGGTTATAACAACAGCCTGTTATAGTTATGCTTTAGGTGTACTATATATATTTCACTCTCTCCATCACAGAAAATACTTTCGGAATCCTCTCATTTTCATAACAGATTGTATCTCAGATTCTGAGATTTCTTATTGTGTTTTCACTCACCTTCTCTACTCATCATTTTCTAACATTGTGTCATTAGCTAATTTTATCATGGCTTGCTACATAATTGTCCATAGTGTTTATGTGATGGGGCCATTATTGCATTACGTGGCAGCTACAGAGAAGCATGTTGCAGTTTGGCATTGCCATAACCATTTTAGCTGCTTGAGCAACAGAAAATCATGGTGAAACAGCGAGGTGAAAAGGAAAAATATTAAAAATTCAAAATTTACATAAACATTCATTTATGGCTGTTTATGGGTGTTCAAAATTTTCAGTCATCTCCAATATGTTCTCTCTCTGACAAACACCTGTCTTCTCTGTCGTTTTCCAGTATTTTCTGGCCAGCCTCTGCAACCTGCTTTGCTCAGTTCACTCTAATCCTTCCTGTCATTTTCTCTGTACAACACTTTTTATGCATATTGTCCAGTATTCAGTCTTTTTCAGCATTTTTTTTCCAATCTAAGCTGTTCTCTTTATGACTTTTATTGTTATTGACAGGTGTGTTCAGCATCAAATTCTAATTTTGCTCATGTTATGTTCTTTGACATTTTGATTAACTAGATTTTTGAAAATTTGGTTTTTGACCGAACTCAATGATGCCTTGTGATCCATGTAGCTGACCTCACCTAGTGAGATAAGGCTTGATTGTTGTTATATGTTCTATACTTCTTTCATACCATCTCAATCAAATTTGATGCTTCAATTTGAAGCACTATGTAGTCAATCCTTCAAATCATTCCAGATTCAGAATAAAGGAAGATCACAATCAAGCTGTGATAAATTGTGGGGCTACATTGATCAGGAACTATACTCCTTTTCAGTTTTCACCTGGCTCAAAATCCTCCCTTTCAAATTCTGTTCTTTGTAAGTCTGGTAAAAGATAAACAATTTCTTCATTGCAGAAACTCAAAATCGTGTCAATTCATATCTGAAGGGCACAACATTTCCGAACATCTCTGAATTAAAGCGTTCAAAGGGTTCACCTGCCATTTCTGCATACCTCCTCTGAATCAAAGCTATAGTTGGTTTTCTAAGGAAAAGGACAAAATAAAGACTAAATAATGTTATTTATGTTGCCTAGATCTCTTTAACGGCTTAACACATCAAATACCTCTATTTCATCTCCTCATTGCAATCTGAGGTCAAAATCTGGTAATTTGTCAAATAAACTAAGCTGGTTTCAACTTTATTACACACCTTGGAGTCAACAACTGTAAATGCTGCTTTGGCAGATCTTAATTGGTGTGCTGCTATGCAGTGTGAACTTGATGCATTAATGACAATATTGTTTGAACCTTGGTGCCTCTCCCTGCCCATAGGCAAGCCATTGGCTGCAAATGGGTATTTTAGGATCATAGAAAACCCTGATAGTAATATTAACAAGCAAAAGGCTTGTTTGGTTGCAAAAGGCATGTTTGGTTGCACAAAGTTTCTACTAGCAGCTTCAATTTGATTATACTGAAACCATGAGTTCTATCCTGTGGTGAAGCCTGTAATAGTTAAGGTCATTCTCATTCTTTATCTCAGGCATGGATGGAATCTCTGGTGGAAATGATGGACATGGCACAGTTAATCGATGAAAAAAATCAGATAACCTTGAGAAAAGGAACATATGCAGGAGATTACAGTGGCAGGCTGAAGTCGGGAGGAACAACAGTAGGAAATGGGGTTACTCGTGTTGAATCTACGGCGTCCAATGGTACATGAATTCTATCAACAAACCTCTTGGAAATACTGGATTTAGTCAAAGAGAAAGGAATTTTAAAGAACTGACTGCTGCGGAGTACAATGAAAGACAGAGGAAAGGCCTTTGTTTTAGGTGTAATACGTTCTCAAGCAACAAATATAAAAGTGAAATACAGAATTGAAGAAGAAAATAGACTTTGATCCTGTATTAATGACAAAAGAAGAAATACAGCAAGAAGGATGACTCCTTACCGCCCAGAGCAATGCTCCTAATAGAGAAACCACTGAGTTTCCTCTACCCAAAATATCAGAAAAACAGCACACCCTCCTCAGCACCTCATAATTCCCTAAATAACAGAAAGATATCTCACTCTCTCTCCTCTAACTGCCTGCACCCCCTTCTCTCATGCCACGTCAGCTCCTTTTCTTTTCTTCCGTGAATATACTAATAATTTCTTAGGGAATGACTGTCTCATGGGCCAATGGTTCAATAGGACCAATCTGGAATTGGGCTCTATCATTGCCCCCCTCTTCAATAGCTGTCTTGTCCTCAAGACAAACTTCAGGAAATTGGCTTCTAATTGTTAAGGTGTCTTCCCATGTAACCTCCTCTCTAGTCTTTCCTTTCCAAAGTACCAGCCACTGAACCTTGTTCTCCCCTCTTCTATGTATGTTTTGTGTAGCAAGTATTGCTCCGGGTTCATTTATTTCTGCTCTATCATCCTCCAAGCCGGTTGGTAATTCGGGTTCAGCCTTGTAATCCCCTATTGCTTTTTTGAGCAAAGAGACATGGAATACCGGATGTACTCTTGTATACAGGGGCAGCTTCAAGTGATAAGCAACTTCTCCAATCCTTTCTAAGACTTCAAAAGGTCCATAGTACCTAGCACTCAATTTTGGGCTGATTCTGGCCTCAATAGAATGTTGTCTATGCAGTTTTAACTTCAAGAAGACCATGTCCCCTATTTCAAAGCTTCTCTCCTGTCTATGCTTGTCAGCTTGGAACTTCATCCTCTCTTGAGCTCTTACTAGATGATTCTTAAGTTGCCTCAATGCTTCATCACGATCTAAGAGCTCCCTCTGTACTGCTTCAACCCTAATTTCTCCTTGAACACATCTCACCATCATAGGAGATTTTCGTCCATAGGACCATAGACTGCCTCAAATGGGGTAGTTTCGATTGACGAATGAAAATTAGTATTGAACCAATATTCTGCCTATGGAAGCCACACAACCCACCCTTTAGGCCGATCGGTGATAAAACACCTTAAGTAGGTCTCCAAACAACGATTTGTGACTTCGGTTTGGCCATCTTTTTGGGGATGGTAAGCCGTACGCATTTTCAGCGTCGTTCCCTGCCTCTTGAAGAACTCCTTCCAAAACAAACTCATAAACAGAGGATCTCGGTCACTAACTACCGAATTCAGAACTCCATGTAGCCTTACCACTTCCTTCACAAATAACTCAGCGATGGTGCATGCAGTGTAAGGGTGTTTGAGAGGAATAAAGTGGCTATATTTAGTCAGCCTGTCCACTACAACTAAGACAGCTTCAAATCCCCTTGACCTGGGCAACCTGGTTATAAAATCTAAGCTAATATCCTCCCATACCTTTTCTGGAAGAGGGAGAGGTTGTAAGAGCCCCCTAGAGCAGTAGTCATATAATTCTGCCGTTGACACGTATCGCAAGCTTGCACAAACTTCAGAGTGTCATTCTTCATACCCTTCCAATACAAATTTGCAGCTAACCTTCTATAAGTACGTAAAAATCCAGAATGTCCTCCTTGTGGTGTCGCATGGAACTCTTCTAAAAATTTGGGGATCCAAGCAGATTTTTCTGAAATTACTAATCTATCTTTATAAAACAGAATACCTTGTTTGTAGGTAAACCCTGGAGTTACCTCTTTTCCTTGCTGCAGATCTTCAATAATCTTCTTCCAATTGCTCTCAGCGTGTACTTCGGCTATGGCCTCTTGACAATCTAACCACACAGGTATGTATATTAACGCCCTGAATTCTGTTTCCCCTATACTCCTTGATAGTGCATCCGCCCCTTTATTCTCCAAACCGGGTTTGTATATTATCTCAAAATCATACCCAAGCAATTTCGCAAGCCAATTTTGTTGACTCCCTGTTGTAATCCTTTGCTGCAGCAGTTGCTTCAAACTCTTTTGATCTGAATACACCTTAAACCTTCTCCCTAAGAGATAGGGTCGCCAATGTTGTATTGCTAAAGTCACTGCCATTAACTCCTTCTCATATGCAGATTTGGCTAAGTTTTGACTACCCAGGGCCTTGCTAAAGTATGCTACCGGTTTGCGATTCTGCATTAGGATTGCTCCAATTCCCATACCTGAGGCATCACATTCCAACTCAAAATCTACCTCAAAGTTAGGTAGAGTTAGCACTGGTGCAGTTGTAATTCTTCTCTTAAGCTCCTCAAAGGCCATTTGAGCTTTATCATTCCATCCAAATTCATCCTTCTTAGTGAGTTCAGTGAGGGGCATTGCTATTTTACCGTAGTCTTTGATGAACTTTCGGTAATATCCCGTTAGTCCAAGGAAACCACGAACTCTCTTGATGTTTTTTGGAACAGGCCATGCCATCACACTGGCCACTTTTGACGGATCTACCAACACTCCTTGTGCTGAAATAATGTGGCCCAAGTACTCCACACTGCCTTTCCCAAAACTGCATTTCTCCTTATTTGCAAACAGCTTCTGCTGTCTCAAGACCTCCAGAACAACCATTAATTGCACCAAATGATTCTCCCATGTCCTGCTGTATATTAGTATGTCGTCAAAGAATACTAAAACACCTTTTCTCAAGAATTCATGAAATACTTCATTCATGAGAGACTGAAATGTGGAGGGGGCATTTGTGAGCCCAAAGGGCATTACTAAATACTCGTAATGGCCCTCATGTGTTCTGAAAGCTGTTTTTGGAATGTCTTCCTCCCTCATTCTCACTTGATGATATCTGGATCTTAGGTTGAGCTTGGAAAAGAATTGGGAACCATGCAATTCATCAAGTAATTCCTCGATCACTGGTATAGGAAACTTGTCTGGTATAGTGGCTTTGTTGAGAGCTCTATAATCCACACACATTCTCCACTTATTGTTCTTCTTCACCAGAATGACAGGACTCGAATATTCACTTTGGCTATGCCGAATGTGTCCGTTGTCCATCAACACTCCAACTTGTTTCTCAATCTCATTCTTGTGGTAATAGGGATAACGATACGGCCGCACGTTAATGGGTCCCTGTCCTGGAATCAAGGTGATCACGTGTTCCTTGGATCGGACTGGTGGGAGTCCTTTGGGTTCCTGAAACACGTCATCATACTGTAATAAAATTTCCTCCAAGTCTCTCTGTCTATCTCCTGTGATATCTTCCTCTTTCTGCATCGACGACTCCTTTAGCATTTCACAAAGGGATGAGATGAATGGTTCTCCCTGTGTTATTCCCCTTAATACTCGTGCTCCTAAAGTTGTTTCAATTTTCATTGTGTGCTTCTGCCAATCCACCACAGTTTCCCCCAGTGACTCCAACCAAGACATACCTAGAATAATGTCAAGATCCTCCAATCCAAACAAAAAAGCATCCATTGTAAATTCTCCAGCCTCTGTTTCAAGTTTGATTCCGCGACAAACCCCAAGAGTTTCAGTCTTATGGCCGTCGCCCATGAGAACCTTCATTTTCTTCGTGGACTCCCAATCCCATCCCATGACTTCCACCAATTTCTTAGAGAGGAAATTGTGGGTAGCTCCACTGTCTATCAAAATCAAAACAGGGATATCTCCAATCTTTCCTCTTAATTTCATTGTGCTAGGGTTCCTCTCTTGCTCTCCTTCCAAACCGAGTAAACTGATAGTACTACACTCCCCTTCAAAATCTGCCCTGTCATCGTTCTCGGAATTTTGAGTGATTGGGTCATTCTCGTCACATGCTACCTGAATTTCTTCATTAACTAGTATCAGCCTCAATTGCTTTATTGGGCATTAGTGTAATGGGCCGTATGGGCCACTGCACTTAAAACAAAGTCCCTTCCGTCGTCTTTCAATCAAGTCTTGATAAGCTAAGTGAGTGGTACCTCTGTTTCTAAAGCCCCCTTTATTTTTTTCACCATTCTCATCCTTAGTATTTGGGCCAGGCCCATTCATCCACTCCCTGAACCATAATTTTGTGACCCAGTTCGACCCATCACATTTAAATGTGTTTTGGGGCCCATATTTGATGACCCTACTGTACGCATGTCTCGTCTTCCCTGCCAAACAGACCTGCGTGATGATAGTTCTGCTTCTACTGCTCGTGCAGTATTCATCATTCTTCCTCTACTCAACGGATTTGCAGTATGGAGACTCCTCAATCGTGAGCGAATTTCTTCCCGTAACCCATGAATGAAGAAGGCAAAATACTGTTCATCTTCCATTCTCGGAACCTGAGCCACTAAACACTCGAATTGCTGGATATACTCCTCTACACCTTCTGTTTGTTGTAAAAAGGTGAGTTGCTCAAACACACTCCCTTCACCCAATCCACCGTAGCGCTGGAGCAACTCCTTCTTCAAAATTTTCCATGTGAGATCTTCATAATCATTTAACAGCGCATTGAAGAAATGGAGTGTTCCACCCTCCATACAAATCTGAGCCAAGTTCAACTTTACCTCCTCGCTGGTCTCTTGTACTCTGAAGTAAATTTCTGCTCGAGTAATCCATCCTGACGGATCCTCCCTGTAGAACAAGGCTAGCTCAATTTTCTTAGCGGATTGACAAAATTCATCTAAAGCTTCACCTTCCAAAGATTTCAGGCCTGATCCCGACATGCCCTGATAAACGTTTCCCTTCGAATTTGCAGACCTTCTTCCTCCCATGGAGTTTTCCCCATCCTCATTAGTGCCTTTACTGAAAGTTTTTGTCATTAATTCCACCAGTCTCGTTTGATTCTCCGCTGCCTCCCTTCTCAGGGTTTCGATAAGTTTCGTCTGGTTTTCTATTGCTTCCTTCCGCATAGCATCAATGA